GCAGCACAAAGCAGCAGTGCAGTACCCGTGTGTTATAGCATTGTCATTAAAAGGTGATTCAGCCCTGATGTCAAGCTGGAAAAAGGCTCAGAAGAGCAGGGGCTCTTCTCCCCTGGAGCTGAACCCAGCTGAGCCATAGTTTTAAGAGCCTCAGTCACTGTGAATTTCCTGTCCTTGTTTGAAACAGTGGGACTAGTGGTGACTAAACCTTGCAGTATTCTCTCTTGGAAAAACAGAGCAACATCCTTATTCTGTATGACTCAGTCCTGCTTCCCTGTTCTGTAAAAGCTGGCTGGGGGGAGGGCATCAGTGTTAGTTATTCTCCTGAGTGCATCTAACAAGAGAGAGAGTCCCTATTCTGAGAACAAAAGTCAAATGATGTAAAATAATTCAATTTTATTACCCCAGTCATCCCTTTTAATAAGAATAATTGAAACAAGGATGTATAGATGTGCTTTGGATTTTCTGTCGAAGATCATAGGTTTAATCCTTTTTTTTTCCCTTCCATTACACAAACTTCTCAGTTTTAGATCCTGTGGAAAACTTGAGAGCTGGTAACAAACCTTTCGGATTTGGTCCACCGTGTTGTAGCAAACCAGGGAAATCTTCCACTGTGATTTTTTTTTCTGCTCCAATCTCTGGCCCTCCCCTCTCTACTCCATCACAGCAGCTGTTGTGCGCTTGATGAAGATGTGGAAAACCGGCTGCTCACCTTGGGGAAAATATTGCTTTTCCTGTTCTGAGTGATGACCCCGAAGCTCGCTGTTCCCTTTTCCCTGCATCCCACAGCCTGAGGATCCACCTGCACATGAAAATTCCTATTCAGGCGTGTTTTTGTTTGTGGCACGGCTAAGCAAACTTGGAAAGACACGCTTGCGTTCTCTTCGAAATCCTGTTATTCCACTTCGCTGTCTAAGACTGTACATGAAGGTGGCGTGAGTGGAAGAACAAACATTTTGGGATTTGGGACAGTGGCCAAGATGTTTCAAAGTGTTGGAAGATTTCATTTCAAGAACTTTAAAAGGGGGGGAAATCTTTTTGACATTTCCAATCCGAGCTCTGTTTTGATTTTCCTGTTAGTTAGGAAAGTGACTATAAAATCTTGCATTGATCTGGGACATGCTCACTGACCGGACAGGAAAAGAATGTTGGGTAATCTGGATTCTGTGTGCACGTCATGTGAATCCAGTGTGAAGCCAGAGTCACTCCCCAATCTGTGAAGGCAATAGAGGGATGATGTGCTCTGCTTGGGCTAATACACCTGAGGATGACAATTCTTATAATTACTGTAAATGATTCTTTTTTTTTTTACAATTAATCACTATAAATGTATATGTATAAATAAATATATAACTATATTATTAATATTGTTGCTTTATGTCTGAGTTTTGAGCTGTAGTTTCTGGGGGGGCATGATCACATCATTTATTTCAGTTTCGAGAGCATCGTTCTCAAAAGAAATGCACCCATGTAAATCAAAACCAGGACCAGCATTCAGATAGGAAAGTCTGAAAAATGAGGTTGGGCAGCTTGCCCGTGGTCTAACTGTTGATTCTGAAAGAAATTTGGCCTTGAAGGTAACTGTAAAACAATGGGATATTTTTTTAATTAATTCCAGGGTTACGATGCTGCAGTCTGCACCATCTGCAAACTAAGAGGTTTAGTTTCATAAGCTACTATGGCATTTCTGAGACCTTAAACTTGTCAAACTATATAAAAGAAAGGGGCTCTTCTAACGTGTTTCCTTAACACAAAGAGTTGTGGGAGTCTGCAACAAGTTACCCTAGCACAGTGTGGAAACCGATGTGATGGATCTGTGAGGCCAGCTGCGCTAGCTACAGTGCCTCGTTTGAGCATACTCAAACGGGTTACGTCAATGCACAAACATGAGGGTTAAGTTTTTAAAATTTCCATATTGTTACATGGTGTTGCAAGAGCAATTGTTGAAAGCTGTAGTTTTGCATTTGGAGAATGTAAAAGGGGTTTTCCCCCAGAAAATTCAAACTTGCGTAATGAATGGTTGGAAACTGTTTAATAACCCGCTTTGTGGCTGGTGCAGTCTGGGCATTTTTGGGGTCAGTGGTTCCAGGAAACAGCAATATTGACCTCTTTTTCGCTGTGTTCAGTGCAGTCAATTTGGCATTAAAATCTCTTGCAAGCTAGTTACTCCCTTCCTCACCTCACCCTCTTCTCTCACAGCTGGGCAGAGGTGCACTGCTGCAAGACAAGAGTCTGACGGGTCTGAGAGGAGTCCATTCCAATACCGTCCTGAGATCTGGGCCACTTGCACATTGCTCGGGGCTGGCCGACCAGAGGACAGTATACACCTGCTGCTCCTGGCTCGGGTGCAAGGCTGAGAACCTAGATTTTTAACCGCAGCATTGCCAGTGCCTGCTGCGTTTTTTTTTTTTTTCCAGCTTCGGAACAAGGACGGGCCCACTCAGGAACGCGCTTGCAGCAGCAATCGGGTTGTTGGTGGATGAGTAGGGGGTGCTTTTCCCTCTGGCATCAGTGATCGCAGGATGTCCTCAGGCTCTGCACTGCAGGAGGAGCTGGGGTTGAGAAGAGATGTTCAGCCATAGTCCTAACTGCTCAGTCAGTCCAGATCACATGGCACTGCTGGTGTGAGTAGAGCCTGTAGCCCTGATGCCCTGCCTTCACGCCACTGTGAGTTTGTGTGATCTGCTCTTCTTCATCTCCCCCTTCATTCAGAAGCGGTAGCAGTCTCTCACGTCTCTACGTAACCTGCTGTGCACTTGCATGGCAGACACGTGGGGTTCTTTAGGAGGTAAAGCACTATACCGATGCAGGGAATGAATAGTGAAGGGATTTTTTAGAATTGCACATGGGGAAGAAAATAAGGGCTCTCGAAGATCAAACGCACCAGGCTTCACACAGTTGTGCACACACAGAGCCTCGCTCCCTAATCAGCAGATGAGCTAATTAGAAGCACCGAGGTGTTAATTGTTGGTTAATGAGTCTAGATGGCAGGAAAGGAAGGGGGAGAGCTGGCACGTCAGAGATGAACGCTAAAGCGCTGAAGCCTTATTCTGCAAAACAAGAGTTAAAGAAGGGTGGCCTTGTGTTGTCTGCAATATCTGCACACAGCGCTTTGAGCTAAGAAGCCTGTTTTGCAAACGGAAACCAGCTGTGTTAAGATTGTGCAACACTGAATTCATTTTTTGTCTTAAACTATGAACTTAATTTTCCGAATACCCGCTCCAAATGTTGTTGATTTTACTGTTGCCACTTTGCTGCTTGATGAAGATTTTATTCTGTTGCCCGCTTTGCGCGGCTAATCAACGTATTACATGTCATTAAGTTTAAAATGGCCATTTTATTTTTTTGCTGGTCCCTCTTGATGCGGAGTAGCCCATGGCGGGTCCTGGGCACAGAGGCAGAATGAGGACTGGTAGACTCCTCCCACTCGCTCTCCTTCCGGCCAATCGGCCGATAAGCTTCGCACTGCCTGTCGGGCTCAGCGCGCGGTGAGGTCCGGGGGTCGTGCGCGCGTGTATTACAGTCACTACGGGGCCCCAATCGAGCCCACAGACGGTCATTGCTGACAAACACGCTATGGGAGGTCATTCTCGCAACAGAAATAACTGCCCCAAACATTTCGGGTTTTCATTTCGCCCCGTGTGGAGTTGGGGTATCATTTGGAACACTATGCAAACGCAAGAATCCAAGTGTGTGCGTCTGGGGAGAATGCTAGTGTTTGTAGCGCTGGCTGACGTGGGGTCTAATGCCTTCATACGCCTGTTCATGATGAACCCAAGCCCAGCCCCCTGAAAAGACCTCTTGTTACCTGCTGTGGTTTCGACACTTCAAACACCGTGAAAGATCGAGCAGCTGCATCAGAGTCTTCACAGCAGCTAGAGAATGGTATGTGGACAATAAATGGACTATTGTGTGATTACATTACTTTGGGGAAAGGATGAAATCGCCGATCTTGAGCTGAAAGTTCTACAAATCCCCAAAAGGAGCGGAAAAAGTGAATGGCAGGGTTTGGAGTCAAACACCCACGCGTGATAAAATTAGAGCAGTCCTCTTTGCTTCGGTGAAGAACACGGTGTTCAAGGCTCCAGAAGCTTTGTGAACAGCAGCTATATAAGAAGACAGGAATACAGTCTGTTCTGATGATGAAAA